CTGCCTCTGGGACAATACCATATAATCAAGAGGAAGCCTCCAAATCCTAATCTTTCCCTGGGGAGAGTATGAAAGGATAATACCATTATTCAGTGTTAAATTTTTTTCTGTGGGGGCCGGCACCATGGCTCACTTGGTTAATCCTCCGCCTGCAGTGCCGGCGTCTCATATGGGTGCCGGGTTCTAGTCCCGGCTGTTCCTCTTCCAGTCCAGCTCTCTGCTGTGGCCCAGGAAGGCAGTGAAGGATGGCCCAAGTGCTTGGGCCCTGTACCCGCATGGGAGACCAGGAGGAAGCACCTGGCTCCTGGCTTCAGATTGGGGTAGCTCCGGCCATAGCAGCCATTTGGGGAGTGAACCAATGGAAAAAGGAAGACCTTTCTCTCTGTCTCTCTCTCTCACTGTCTAACTCTAATTGTCAAATAAATAAATATTTGTTTAAAACAATTTTTTTTTCTGAGAATTCCCTGAGATACCAGCTGCCTCAGCACACAGACAAGGCCTGGCACACACTTGGTATTAGGAGGGCACCAAGAGCAAAGAGTGTTGATTGAACCACAGCCACACCCTCTGGCTCAGCACAAAGTGAGTGGAAGAAACAAAAACAGCTCTCAACTTTACCTTGGATAGAGAGGGAACAGGATGGGATCATATATTCAATGTTTTGATTTTTCTGGGCACTGCCTGAAACAATGGCTTCTCTCAACTGTCTCAGAATGCTGACTGGCATGCGGGGGCGGGGGAGCATTGTAAACAAAGACAGTGGTTGGAACTAGCATGTGTGTTTGAGAAGCCCCCAAAGTCTGGTCAAGCTGATTACCAAGAATCAAGGAAAACAGAGAAACATGGAAATATCTTACAAACAAATAAACAAGATAAATCTCCAAAAACTGATCCCAGTGAAATGGAGATATATGATTTATCTGACAAATACTAAGAACCATGATTGAGGTACTCAGCAGGGTCAGGAGAACAATGCATGAACAAAGTGAGAATTTCAACAATGAGAAAATATGTGGAAAGCACCCAACAGAAATCAGAGCTGAAAAACACAGTAATTGAATTTTAAAAAAAATCACAAAAAGAATTTAACAGCAGACCAAATCAAGAAAAAGAAGAATCAGCAAATACAAAGATACATCATTGGGAATTTCTTAGAGGAACAAAATGGAAAAGAATGAAAAAACGTTAAGGGACTTACACCATATACTAATGTTTGCCTTCTGGAAATCTCAGAATGAACTCTGCCTTTCAAATAAGTAAATAACTTTTTTTAAAAAAGTTATCCAAAGAAATAATAAATACCCAAATCTGGAAGGAAAATAGACTTTCAGATTCATGAAGTCAATGACCCCAAGAAGAAGAATCCAACAAAATCCGCACTGAGAAGCATTATAATCAAGTTGTCAAATTTCAAAGACAAAAAGAATTGTAAATCAGCACAATAAAAGAAACTTACTTATAGAAAGAAACAGTTGTGACTATCAGTGAATTTTTCAGCAGAAACCTGGCCAGCCAGACAAGAATGGGATGATATATTCAAAATATATTAAGCAAAATAAACAAAGCAGAGGGCATTACACTAACTTTAAAACACACCACCAAGCTATAGAAATAAAGACAGTGTGGATTGGCATTAAAACAGACCCACTACACCTCAGTGCCGGCCCCAGGGTTGTTTTTTTTCCCCCCCATAAGTGGTGCTATAAAAGTTGGATATACATTTGCAGAATGAATTTAGGCCCCTGTCTCACAATATAAAAAACCAACTCAAAATTGATAAAAAAAAAAAAAGACCTAAATGTAAGTGCTGAAACTATGAAACTACTAGAAGAAAACATAAGGGAAATGTTTCAGAACATTGGAATGGATAAGGATTTTTTTGGATAAGACTCCTATAGGAAACAAAAGAAAAAATAGACAACTGGGATTACATCAAACTAAGCAGCAAAGGAAATGATCATCAGAGTAAAGAGACAATCCACAGAACGGGAGAAAATATTTGCAAAGTGTGCCTCTGGAAAAGCATTAATAACCATATTATAGAAGGAACAAAAGGAACTCAAAAGCAAAATAGCAAATAATCTGATTAGAGGACGGTACTGTGGCATAGCGGGTAAAGCCACCCATAGGGATGTCAGTTTGTGTCCCAGCTGTTCCACTTCTGATCCAGCTCCCCGCTAATGCAAGTTGGGAAGCAACAGAAGATGGACCAAATGCTTTTGTCTCTCACCCGTGTGGGAGACCCAAAAGAAGCTCCTGGCTCCTGAATTCGGCCTGGACCAGCCCTGGTGGATGCAACCATTTGAGGAGTGAACCAGCAGATGGAAGACTTCTCTCTCTGTCTCTCCCTCTCTCTCTCTGTAACTCTGCCTTCCAAATAACTAAAATAAATTTAAAAAACCAGATAATATGATTAAAACATTGGTACTAAACCTATACAGACATCTTTCAAAGGAAGACATACACTTGGCGGACAGTATGTGAAAAGGTACTCAGCGTCAGAAATCATCAGGGAAACGCAAATCACAACCACCATGAGATATCACCTCACTCCAGTTAGATTTGCTCTTATAAAAAAGACAAAAGATAAGTGCTGGTGAGGCTGTGGAGGAAAGGGTGCCCTACACACTTGGTTAAGAATGTAAATTAGCACAGTTGACATGAAAATAGAATAGAAATTCCTAGAAAATTTGAAAATAGAACACCAAATCATCCAGAAATCCTACTAGTGGGTATATATCCAAAGGAAATAAAATCAGTCTGTCAAAAAGACACATGCACTCTAATATTTATTACAGCATTGTTCACAGTAGCCCGGAAGCTGAGTCAACCTAATTGTCCATCAGTGGATGAATGGATAAAGAAAATGTGGTATACATACACAATTCAGCCATAAAAATGATGAAATACTATAATTTGTGATGACATGAATGGAACTGGAGGTCATTATTTTTTAAGTGGGCATTGCATAGAAAGATAATTACCACATGATCTCACTCATGAAAGCTGAGAACAGAATAATGATTGCTAGAGACTGAGAGAATAGAGGAAAGAATGGGATGGGAAAACAGTGATTAACAGGTAGTAAGTTATAGTCAGGTAGGAGAAATAGGTTCTGATGATAAATATGTGAGGAAACAGATGTATTAACCCTAATAACGTTATACAATGTATACTGTACCAAAGCATCACATCATGTATACCCCATACACATGTATAATTTTTACATATCACTTAAAAATAGATAAAGCATTTGGAAGTGAGCATTTCACCTAATGGTTAAAATACGCACATCCCACATCAGAGTTCCTGGGTTCAATTCCTGATGTTTCTGTAACTTCTGGTTCCCTTTAATGCAGACCCTGTAGGCAGTGATGATGGCCTAATTACCCTTTTGGGAGATAGAATTGTGTTCCTGGCTCTTGGCTCCAGGCTTGGCTTAGCTCTTGCCATTAAGGGTATTTGGGTAGTGAACCAATGGATGAGAGCACTCTCTGTCATCCTCTGTTCTTTCTGCCTATAAAATAAATATTTTTTAAAAAATTTAAACTGAAGAATTACCCAAAAAGAAGATTTACAAGTGGTCAACAGATACATGAAAAGTGCTCAACATCACTAATCATCAAGAAAATGCAAATGAAAACTGTAATAAGACGCCATCTTACACATGTTAAAATGATTATTCTAAAAAGTCAAAAGATAAAAATTTTGGAAAGGAAGTGTAAAATTAGGAACTCTTGTGCACTGTTGGTGGGAATGTAAAAGGTTATAACCACTTTGGAAAACAGTATAGATGTTACTCAAAATTGACAGATAACACCTTGGGATCCTGCAAACCCACCTCAGGGTTATCTATCCAAAAGAATTGAAGTCAGAATCTCAAAGCAGCATTTTCATTTCTGTATTCATTATGGTATTGTTCACTACAGCCAAGTTGAAAAAACAGCCTAAATAGCCTTACATGGATGAATCAATGAAGGAAATATATGTAATGGAACTGGCATATGTGACAGCATGGATGAACTTTGAGAATGTTATGCTAAATGGAAAAAAAGTCACAGAAAACAGTCACAGAAAGATAAACACTCCATATGAAGTGTATAAAACAGTCAAACCCACAAAAGCAGAGAGCAGAATGGAAGTGCCTGCGGCTGGGAGAACGGACTGTTCAAGGATAAAATTTCAGTTATGCAAGTGATGAAGTCCTAGGAATCTGCTACAGAACATTGTATCTGTAGTTAACCTTACTGTAAAAATAACTTCAAAATATGAAAGGATAGATTTTATGTTACCTGTTCTTTCCACAATTATAAGGAAGAAGAAAGGAGTTGACCAGAATTGTACACTGAATTGGGACCACAGTAAAGTTTTCTTTCTTTCTTTTCTTTTCTTTTTTTTTTTTTTTTTGGACAGGCAGAGTGGACAGTGAGAGAGACAGAAAGGTGTAAAGTTTTCTTTCTTTTCAAATTATATATCTCTTTGTGTGTCAATTCTTTGTGTATCTTTACCTTTTAGAGTTTACTTCACTGCTCAAAAAATATGTAATCCTTATATTTCTAGGAAAATTTTACCTCTGTTTCAGCCAGCCTTCTTGGAGTAGTAATATTTTCTCTGGTTTCGTACATCCTTATTCTCGTCTCTTTCTAATTTATCATCTGGGATTTATTTTGCTTCCACTCAGCTTTGACAAAATATAGCCTCTGCATGAGTTATATATAAATATGTCTATGCTGTGTATTTTTATATCTAATATTGATGGCTCTGAAATATTACCATTTTTTGCATGTCTCATCTTCACACTTGTTCATTTAGCACTCATTCGTATTCCCAGAGCTTCACAAGTGCATTTTTACTAAGATTTGTTATGTTTGGATAACTGCTTTTGTTTATGTTACTCTTTGTGGTAAGAAAATTTATAACAGTATTTTGTCAATTTACATATGTGTAAATAATGCATTTACTGTTTTATGTAAAATAAAATACTTCTAATTTTTTTGCAGATGTTATTCCTGAAGACAAGGAAGATACTCCAACTGAGGTACAGGAAATGGGAAGAGAACTTATAATAGTTATTATTTTCTAAAGAGATGAAATATTTGTAAATGGAGAAATATTTATAGATAGAAAGAGAAAAGCACCCAGAAAGTTGTTCAGTTGTTTCATGGTTATTTCTGTTATGGCAGTAGCTTGTATAGTTAGACAGTTTTAAAAATTCTACTCCCAGCCAGTGCCGTGGCTCAATAGGCTAATCCTCCGCCTGCGGCTTGCCCCTCTTCCAGGCCAGCTCTCTGCTGTGGCCCAGGAGTGCAGTGGAGGATGGCCCAGGTCCTTGGGCCCTGCACCCGCATGGGAGACCAGGAGAAGCACCTGACTCCTGGCTTCAGATCAGCGTGGTGCGCCAGCCACAGCGCACTCTCTCTCACTAACTCTGCTTGTCAAAAAAACAAACAAAAAAAAAAAACAAAAAAAGAAAATAGGGAACAAAAGATATTTAGGAAGAGAAGAAAAAAGTAAGAAAAAAACCCTGTAATTTAGTATAAGAGCTTAGGAATGGACGCCATAGACCTAACAACATTTTCATTCTTTCTCACCAAAGTTTTTTTAATTTGAATTTATCATTTGCAAACTTTGCCCAAATAAAAATCAACAAAATACAGACTTATATAATAGCGTTTTCTTTTCAGCTAATTTTACTGTAGGCAGTTACTCCATAAAGCAGTGAATCCCTATGTAACTTAACAAAGTACAAAAAGTTGGAGCATGGGTGGGAAGGAGGGTGGGGGGGAAAGTATTGCTATGTTCCTAAATCTGTATATATGAAATACATGAAACTTGTATACATTAAACCAAATAAATAAATTAATAAATTAGAAACTCAAATAATAAAGGTTTGACAAATAGGAATTAATAACTTCCATCATTAGGTCACTGGCTCCCAAATACCAATTAAAGAGTCAGTATGTACTGTTTTTCCTTGTTAAAGGAGAGGAACAAAAACGACATAGAATTTTTCATAAAGCTCAATTAATTTATAATTACAGTCTGTCTTATTTTGTGTTAACCTCTTTTGTTCAATTTTGCTGTTAAAATTTTCTTTATATTTCCTTGCACCATTTTACTATTAAAATTTTTTTTAATTTCATGACATATTGGTAATTGTGTAATAGTAAGATGTCAGATCCTCAGATTTTCTTTTTGAGATGTTGATAGATAAAATTCAGACATATTAAAAACTACTGCTTTACACACCACCCTATATCATTTTTATGAATAATATTCTGTGGTCCATGACTTCATGCAAGTAGAAAATTTATCATTTATTTTATTAAGTTATATAATAATTTACAAATATTAAAAATAACATGATAAAAGATAAGGGTATTATTTATTTTGAATTATTTTATTAATTTTAAATATTTTCTGGTCACTAATGACTTATTATATTGCTGTATTTTCCAGTTACCAGACAGTGATGAAAAGGAAGACTTTACTATACCATCTTTGAAGCAGTTATATCATGATAATGCAATTGCTGGTACTCCTAAAAGTGATGGGTCAACAACTCTGTCCACAGATACTGCATTGCCCTCCGTTCCTAGCCTGGAAATAACGGAAGGAAAAAAAATACAACCTTTACCTGAACACCTAGCAGAAGATGTGCCAGGTGGAAAAATGAAAAATTTACTATTTCCTCTGGACATAAAATCATGCGGTAGTAATCCAAGAATTTTAAAAGCAGACTCATCTCTAGCAGAGGTAAAGTTGAAAGATACCTGTATAAATCAAGAGAGAATAAGGAGAAGGAAGTTAGATTCTTCTCCAACAGAAGTTAGGTGGCAAAGAAGCTCTCGAAATTTAACTGAAAGGAGAAGCACAAGCTTAGTATCCCACAATACAAAACCAGAAACTCCAAAAGAAGACCTTGAGCCGAATGTGTCTACTCTCACATTAGAAGTTTAAGACTAGGAAAAGCAAATAACATATAAAAGACAAATACAAACAAGTTGAAAATATATTCAGATATCTTTAAGTAGAAATATGTCTCTATGTTAAATATTCCCATCCTACTTAATAAGATCAAGAAATGAGGAAAAACCTTTGAAGAAAAAGTAAAACTATCTGCGATGCCATTAATACAAGCTAATCTCATGGGTTGGTGTTGAATTCAGCTAGACGTGTAGTAATAAGAAAATATAAATTCAAAGGAAATTTAAAAGCCTAGGAGGTTATTGCAGTGCATATTTTAATTAAGCCATTATATTATATGAAATAGCATATGTTCTTCTTGTTACGTAACAGTTTTGTGGTTTAAAATGAGAATGATCTGAATATCTTAAAAAACACTTAAAGGTACACCAAAGTGAAGGGCCTTTCTTGAAATAACAGCTATTCTACATACTCTTCATATCTTGTTTGAATTACTATTTCAGGTAGCTCATAGAGCAATGTAGTAAAGGTATATAGGTCAGAGGCAAAAGAATTTGAGTTCTAAGTTAGGCTCTGTCACTACATATTTTAAGTAGTGTGGGCTCCTAAATCTCTAGACTACAAATGTTTCCTCATCTTTTGAATGGTAGGTCAGACTAAGTCATTTCTAAATTTCCTTCCAAATTTCTAAAGATACAATTTTATTAAAGATCTGTACCTGGGACATTACTCTTAATCACCTAAATTGACAACCTAACTAACATAATTTTATTTATTTTGCTGAATGTGAAAGTAATACATAGTTATAGAAATGGAGAGAAACATAAAAAGGAAATTATAATTCTACCATATTTAACAATTTTATTTTCTTTCAGTCCTTGTTATGCACATATACTCATATATATATCTTTTATTTACTTTCAAAAGTTCAAATTATATATATGAATCTATATTATGTGTTTTTGATAATATATTATTAACATGCTACCTAAGTTTTCCTAAAATTTTTCAAGATGGAGAATATACTAAAATATGGAAATTTCATAATTTTAAAATAATTTGTACGTTGTTGGTCATAAGTTTGAAACTGACATTGTTTTACTTAACTGCTCACATGGATCTGTGATTATCTTGTAATAGAAATGGCATATTGGCAGATTACTCTTGAGAAAGATTGTACTACTTTATATTCCCACCAGCCATATTTGAGCACTATTGATCTTTTAAGAAATGATTAAAACTTTTTCATCCTATTAGCCATTTTGATGTTTTCCTACTGTGGGTGGACAGACCATATTCTTTGTCCTTCATTTCCTTTTGAAGATTTGTGGATTTTGTTTAGGTTTTATAGTGAACTTTGCTTTTTAAGGATATTAACCACTTGTATAGATCTGTACTTTTCCATAGTTTATAGTTTGACTTTTAATTGATTTATTATATTCAGTCTGACTTACAAAATATTTTTCATTTGATAAATGGAATCACTTAGTCCTGCGTAAAAAACCACTCTGAATTTTGGTGACTTGAAACAACCATTTTATCTCCCAGGATTCTGTGGTGTTGACTCTGCTTAGTTGGGCAGTTTTCTACTCCAATTGATGTTGGGTACTAGATGGACTTATGGTCAGCTAGTGCTTGACTGGAGCACTCATGAAAACACTTTGATGGGAACAGCTGTAAGGCTGGGCTCCGCTGGGATGCACGGACATCGGGTTTCACAGGTCTGTTTCTCCCCTCCCCACCATCCCCCTGTCATGTGGCCTCTCAACGTGATCTTTCTAACAAGGCATCTGAATATCTTATGTGGCATCTCAGAGCCTCCAGAATACAAAATAGAAGCCTCAGAACCTCTTAAGATTTAGGCTTGGGCCTAGCTTAGGTTCCTTCCATGGCATTCTGTTAGCTACAGCAAGTCCATGGCTCAGTCCTGATTCGATATGGGAGGAAAGTATAAAAAGGCATGAACCCAAGTAGGTGTTGTTCATTGGGGACCATATTTAGAAATTAACTGTCTCTCATCCCAAGTAATTTGTATTCCTTCCACATGCAAAATGTACTTCCATTCCAGGAGCACCATCTCATGCTATTACTGCATTAGGCTTAAGCTTGAAGAACAGAATGTCATCATCTAAATCAAGTCCAGGTGGGAGAGGCTCCTTGGGTATGTCTCCTCTCAGTCTTAAAACCCATGAATTAAAGACAGTTATCTACCCCCCCCCCCAACATACAATAGTGAGTCAAGGACAGAAAACCTGTAGTAGACACTTATATTCCACAGATGGAGGGAGGGACAATGTGAGGCAGAGAGCCTCAGTAGAACACAGTAATTCTGAAGTTCTTGGCTTTGCCCTCAGATCTTTACTGTTCTTTCTGAATAGACTTTCTTCCTCCGTAAGAAAGCATCAGTGTGTAGCTGAGTAGCTTTGCAGCTTGCTGCGGTGACTCTTCCTCGTCACCACCGGAGAATTAGGCAGGCTGCCCGCAGCTTGCCTGGCTGAGGAGGGGAAGTGCGCCACCCACCACTCTGCTTCCCCGAACCCTGGGGGACAGTCAGAGAACCCCGGTGGCAGTCAGACGCGGTGGGGAGTCCAGTTGAAGCAGGATCTCACTTTACTGTAAAAGGGAGGTGTTTATATAGCTGTGGTACAGAGCGGATGTGGGCAAGGGGTGGGGTGACGTGATGCAAAAGGGTTTCAGCCAATCCTGTTATACCACCTCAATGACCATTAGGCAAAAGTACCCCGGGGCTGGGTTGATTACCTCCAGGGATTTGGAACTTAAAGACAGGTTTTCAAATTTGAGGCAGGCCTAGGAAGTTCCTCTAGGCCTTTCCGGATTCAGCCTCCCCCACAGCTCCCTCTTTTTGCTTTAACACGGTCCCTGTCTTAGGTTGCCCCCAGCCATTCTTTCCCTTACCCATCATTGGTAACCCAGGCAGCTTGGCCATGAGCCCTGTCTTAGGTTGGTACAGGACGCTGAGTGCTTTACCCATCTTGGGGTGTCACGTGACTTGTAAATATGGGAGTGTGGTGAGCCTTCTCCACCGCCTGTCTTAGGTTGTTCTAGTCCATTGGAATCTTACCCGTCATTGGCAATGTGGAGAGCACCAGTGGCGCTTCCCCAGTCTAGGGGATCGTAGCCTTCTGTGGCTACCAGCCTCTGGTAATGAACCTCAACCTGTCTCAACTTGTTGCCTCTATCCGCTGTTGTATAAACTATATAAGCCTACTCATTATGATTGGGCCAACAGCAAGGATTAAAAGCAGGGCAAGAAGCAGTACAAGAAGAGGGAGGAGGTAGGGCAAGAGTCCATTAAGGCTCATCCAAAAGGGGCTTTCTTGGAGTTTTCTTCGTCTTTTTTGGGTCATCGAATCCCCCTTCACTGGGCGGGGCACTTATTGTCAGGATCACAGCGAAGAGTAGTGTCCGCATCATCAACTGCCTCTGGATCTCTGTCCGTTTCAGGAATAGGGAAGACAAGGGGATCTCCCTCAGGGGCGTACCACTCCCTGGGTGGGTTGTTACTTGTATAGTGCATAGGCCTGATATTTCTGGCCGGTATCCAAATCGGAGTCAACTCCCCTATGGGGAACACACAGCCAAATCCTCTTCCAGCTGAGGAGGGGAAGTGCGCCAACCACCACTCTGCTTCCCCGAACCCCGGGGGACAGTCAAATCTGGTGGGGAGTCCAGAGGAAGCAGGATCTCACTTTATTGAAAAAGGGAGGTGTTTATATAGCTGCGGTACAGAGCGGATGTGGGCAAGGGGTGGGGTGACGTGATGCAAAAGGGTTTTAGCCAATCCTATTATACCACCTCAATGACCATTAGGCAAAAGCACCCGGGCTGGGTTGTTTACCTCCAGGGATTTGGAACTTAAAGATAGGTTTTCAAATTTGAGGCAGGCTTAGGAAGTTCCTCTAGGCCTTTCTGGATTCAGCCTCCCCTACAGCCTATGTTTTGTCTGTATAAAGTTGGAGGTTCAGATGCATCTTTTCTTTTTTTTTCTTTTTTTGACAGGCAGAGTTAGACAGTGAGAGAGAGAGAGAGAGAGACAGAGAGAAAGGTCTTCCTTTTCTGTTGGTTCACTACCCAAATAGCTGCTACGTCTGGTGCTGCGCTGATCCGAAGCCAGGAGCCAGGTGCTTCTCCTGCTCTCCCATGCGGGTGCAGGGCCCAAACACTTGGGCCATCTTCCACTGCAGAGAGCTGAAATGGAAGAAGAGCAACCGAGACAGAATCTGGCGCCCCAACCGGGACTAGAACCCAGGGTGCTGGTGCCGCAGGCGGAGGAATAGCCAAGTGAGCCACGGCGCCGGCCTCAAATGCATCTTTTCATTTTATGCTACCCTTATTCCTTTAAGTCCAAGTTGCTATGATTCTTTTAAATGTTTTGTGAGCTCCCCATGCATCAAATTATTATCTTAATTATCCAAGTGTTACACCTTTTAACAGCTTTAAAGACAAGCCCCTATTTCCTTGTGTTGAGTCAGGGTCCTGTAGCACAATATTCTGAAGAATTTTGTAAGTGCTCCCATCTAACAGAGAAGGACTATGATGCTATCCAAGATCCTTAAAATTCTGTTGTGTGTATGTTTTTTTAAATAGCAGAAATATCAAACTTAACATGATCAAAACAAAACTTTGAATTCCACCTCCATCTATTCTTCACTCCCAGCTTTTTCCTGTGGTCTAGATAGACTTAAATATGCATAGAACTAGTAGGTTTATTGTCGCTCCCCCTCTTCATGGAGGAACGACACTGAACCCTGCCTAGGCTTCCTATCCGAGTCACGGCACCATTATGTCGCTCCCCCGTCTTCGCGGAGGAACGACACAGGACCCTGCGTTGTTCTTTCGTCTGCTCGGCCCTCCCCGGGTTTGCTGCTGGTTCTTCCCGGGTTGGCTACCGACCCTTCCACCTCCGTGGAAGGGCGGTTCCCCCTGCCACATTCCCCACTTCCGCGGGGGAGCGGCACACCGCCGGCCGGCTCTCTCGGGGGCTGCACAGGTGTTCCTTCAGATAGATGTTCCCGTTAGACGTTCCTGGTGCATGTTGTCTCTCTCCTCCTTTATAGTCCTCTTCCAATCCCAACTCTGCTACCCACACGCCGAGTACGCTGCTCTCCTCCAATCAGGAGCAGGTCCTGCTGTTTATTGGTTGAACTGGAGGCAGCTGCGTAGAAGCTGTTTCTCCCTTCTCAGCGCCATATTGTGGGAGAGCAGATGTATAGAATAAGTCTTAATTCCAGTAACTTAGTCTAGTCCGGGTTGCTCCCCACAGTTTATGATGCAGTCTCTTAGGTAGAAGCTGTAAAAACTGAGGTGCACAGTATGGTAAAACTCTTTCCAGAAGGCATTAGTAGACCTGGAGTTATCACTGGGACAAGTTATATTGAGAAATGCTAATGTACTTAGGTCAGCAGCATGTCAACACTTGTTTGCCTCACTAATGAATGATATGGAATCACAAAAGACCAAGAATAACCAAAGTGATCATGAGGACAAAACATCAAGCTGGAGATATCACAATTCTAATTTCTTTTTTTTAAAAAGATTTTTATTGGTTTATTTGAGAGGAAGAGTTAAAGAAAGAAGGAGAAACAGAGAGAACAGTATTCCATCCACTGGTTCACTCCTCAAATGGCTGCAATAGCTACTGCTGGACTGATCTGGAGCCAAGAGCCAGGAGCTTCTTTCAGGTCTCCCACATGAGTGCAGGAGCCCCAGCACTTGGGCTATCTTCTGCTGCTTTCCAAAGCCATAGCAGAGAGTTGTATTGGAAGAGGAGCAGCTGGGACTCAGACTGGTCCTCATATGGGATGCTGGCACCGCAGCCAGAGGATTAGCCCAGTATGCCACAGCACTATCCCCACAATACCTAATTTCAAAGCATACTACAAAGCTATAGTAATTAAAACAGCATGGTACTGACATAAAAGCCTAGCACATATGTTAATATAACAGAATAGAGAGCACAGAAATTAATCCACATACATACAGTCAACTGATTTTTAACAAACATGCTCAGAACATACATTGAAGAAAGGATCATCTTTTTAATAAATGGTGCTGACAAAACAATGTTTATGTCCATAAAATGAAATTAGATTCCTATCTCTTATCATATACAAAAATCCACTCACAGTGGATCAAAGACCTACATTTAAGACCAAAGAATATGAAATTGCCAGAAGATTGTAGGAGAAATACTTGGTATAGAAATGGTATAGATGATGACTTCTTGGATAAGACACTCAAAGCACAGGCAACAAAGCAAAACTAGACAAATGGGATTTTATTAAATTTGGAAGTTTCTTCACAGCAAAAGAAACAATAGAGTTAAGAGGTGTCTGACAGAATGGGATAAAATATTTACAAGCTATTTATTTAGCAGAGGGTTAATATCCAGAATATATCAACAACTCAAAGCACTCAACAACAAAAATAGTTTAGTACAGAAATGGGCAAAGGACATGAATAGACAGTTCTAAAAAGAAGAAATATAAATGGCTAACAAATATATGAAAAATATGCTTACTATAACTGGCCATCAGGGAAATGCAAATCAATACCAGAATGAGGTATCACCTCATTACCCCTGTCAGAATATCAATATATCCAAAAAACAGCTACAAGTACTGGTATGGATCTTGGGAGAGGGGAACTCTTATACAATCTTGGTGGAAATATAAATTGGTGTATCCACTGTAGAAAACAATATGGAGATTTCTCAAAAAACTAGAAATAGACTTGCTGTATGTTCCAACAGTCCTACAATATCTGCTCTACCATATTTAAAGCAGCACTCTTTAAAATAGCCAAATATGGAATCAATGAAGTTGTCCATCATCAGATGAGTATATATAAAAAAAGTGTGTGTGTGTGTATAGACACACACAATGGAATATTATTCAGCAATTAAAAATGAAGTTTATCATTTGCAGCAAAATGATTGGAAGTGGAGGACATGACATAGAGTGAAATAAGCCAAACACAGAAAAATACTGCATATTTTCCCTTATGTGTGTGAGCTAAAATTTAAAACAGTGCTTGGGCCCTGCACCCCATGGGAGACCAGGATAAGTACCTGGCTCCTGCCATAGGAGCAGCGTGGTGCGCCGGCTGCAGCGTGCAGCCATGGCGGCCATTGGAGGGTGAACCAATGGCAAAGGAAGACCTTTCTCTCCTGGCTTCAGATCAGCGTGGTGCGCTGGCTGCAGCACACTGGCCACAGTGGCCATTGGAGGGTGAACCAACGGCAAAGGAAGACCTTTCTGTCTCTCTCTCTCACTGTCCACTCTGCCTGTCAAAAAAAAAGGTCAAAGTCTGCACCAGAAAAAAAAAAACTATTAGAAATAATGAATTCAGAAAAGTTTGCTTGATACAAAATCAGCATGCACATTCAGTAGCATTGCTATAAATCAATAAAAAAATTGTCTTTGAAAGAAACCAAGAAACTGATCTCTTTTTCAATAGCTATAAGATACAAATATCTAGGAATAAATATAACCAAGTATAATATCTCTACAATGAAAACTTTTTAAAACATTGGTGAAAGAAACTGAAGAGGACACAAGGACATGGAAAAAATATCTGGAGTTCACATATTGAAAGTGTCAGTGTTGTTAAAATGTCTTTTCTAGTCAACATAATCTACAGATTCAATATGATTCCTGTGAAAATACCAATGATACTCTTTACAGAACTAAAAAAAAAAATCTAAACTTTACATGGAACCACAAAAGCCCTGAATGCCCAAAGCAAACATAAGCAAAACCAAAACCAGTCAGGAGGCATTACACTACCTGACTGCAAAATATACTATAAAAGCTACAGAAATAACATGGTATAGCAACAACAACAACAAAAGTAGACATACATCAATGAACAGGATGAAGTGCCTAGAAGTAAACCCTTGTGTCTGATCCTTAACAAGGGCACTACGAACATGCACTGGAGAAAGGGTAGTTAAAATGGTGCTGTGAAAACTGGATATCCACCTGCACAAGAGGGAAGCTAGAACTCTCCTACCATACGCAAAAATCCCCTCAGTGGATTAAAAACTTATAAGATCCGAAACTCTGAAGCTTCTATAATAAAACATAGAGGAAATGCTTCAGGACATTAGGGAATGGGCAATGATTTTTTTTGGTTAAGACTCCAAAGGCAAAGACAGATAAATGATATTTCATCAAATTAAAAAGTTTCTACACAGCAAAATGAGAGACTTACAATACAGGAGAAAATACTTGCAACTTATAATCTGACAAGAGGTTAATAATCAGAATGTCTTAGGAATTTAAACAATACAATAGAAAAAATCTGATTAAAAATAGGCAATAAATTGAAATAGATATTTTTTTAAATAAGGCATAAAAATGACCAAAAATATATGAAAACATGTTCAACATAACTAATAACCAGGGAAATGTAAATAAAACCATAATGAGATATAACCTCATTCCAGTTAGATTGGCTATTATCAAAAAGACAAAAGGCAAATGCTAGTGAGGCTGTGGAGAAAAGGGAACACTTTCACTGTGTGTGGGAACCTGTATTAGTATAGTCATGTGGAAGATGGCATTGAGGTACCTTAAAAATAAAACTACCATGTGACTCAGTAATTTCACTATTGGGTGTGTATCTAAAGGAAATGAAATCACTCTGCCAAAGAGACATCTGTAGTCTAATGTTTATGGCAGCACTATTCACAATAGCTAAGAAATGGAAACAACCTAAATGCCCATCAACTGATAAGTGACTAAAGAAAATAGTGTATGCATACAATGGAATACAACTCAGCCATTAGAAAGGATGAAATATTGTCATTTGGGAAAATACGGATGGAATTGGATGTCATCGTATTACATGAGATAAATCAGGCATAGGAAGAAGAATACTGAATTATTTCACTTATGTATGAAATCTAGAAGAGTTGATCTCATTGCAATTGAGAGTAGAGTGGTGCTTACCAGAGGCTGGGGAAACCAGGAGGTAGGATGGGGAAAGACAAGCAGGTACTACATTATAATTAGATAGGAGACGTTCTGGTGCTCTATTGCATGGTAAGATGACCATGAATATGATAATATACTGTATAATTGTTGAAAAAACTAGAAGAGAAAGGATTCTGCATGTTTTCACTATAAAGAAATAATCAATATTTGAGGTATAGATATGTTTCCCCGATTTGAATATTACATAAGGTATACATTATCAAAACATCATGTTACCCCATAAATATGAAGGGTCTTCAAATTATATATGCAATTTTTATGTATTAGTTAAAATTTGAAAACCTGCCTTTTTTCTAATCCCTCCTGCTCCCAGTGCTTGTGAATTAGACCCAACCCACCAGGAAGCTTAGAGTTAGGGTGCTATATGTAAGGTCCAAACCCTCCTGTCCATGAGGAGAAGCTGGGTGCTGGGGATTCCTATCCTGGTCTTACGGCACAGTGCTCAAGGTTAGGTCCATGTCTGAGTGTGTCTCAACTTTCCCTCCCCATTCAGTGTGGAGGATTTCTCATTTGCCTTGCAGTGAAGAGTCTCAACTTGCTCTGACTTTCTCCCAGTCATTGATACATGAGTAGATGTTGAGCTGGTGCATCTGTTGGCAGAGGGAGTCATGAGCTTCCTATTCTGCCACTTTGCTGATATCCTTCCTCTCATTCTTGAAATTCAAGAAATTTAAATCTCTGAAAAGTGATTGATAGTACTCATGGTAAATATGCTAAAACCTCCCCCAAAACATTGTCTTTGCCAACTCTGCACTTTAAATCAGCCATGTTATGCAGGGAAAATGCAACTTGCAATTATTTTATCCACTGCCTTTCTTAATTCAGTTTTTTTTTTTCCAACCTGGAAGTAAGTTTTCTAATCTCCATGCTTTCTTTTTCACAGATGTAATGAACTATTGAAATGGAGATAAAAACAGATCTAAATAGCTTCTGTAAATTTTGGAGTAAAGAGGACTTTTCTATTTGATCAAAATTGACCTTCCTTTGAAATTTTTAGAATTGATCATTTTAGGATTTGTAATCATTTTTCTCTTTGCTCGTATTTTTCTCTGGAAGGTCTGTTTTTCCACTGGCTACTGAAATGGATTTTATCAGATTGTTTTTTATTTATATTTTTCATCTAGAAACCTTTTATTTAAGGTATACAAACTTCATGCATTTCATATTTATGTATTTAGGAACACAGTGATTCTTACCACCTTACCCTTTCTCCCATCTGCACTCCCACCTTCTTCCTCTTCTTTCTCCTTTTCCCATTATTATTTTTTACTAAGCTCTATTTCCAATTAACTTTATATACATAAGATTAACCCTACACTAAGAAAAGGGTACAAATAATAGCATGAATAAAAAAAAAACTATTCCTCAACAGTTGAAACAAGGGCAGTTCAAAATCATCACATCTCAAAGTGCCAGTTTCACTTCTATGGATTACCTTTTAGGCACTCTATTATTTACCACAGATCAAGACATAGTATTTGTCTTTTTGGGACTGGCTTATTTCACTAAGAATAATGGCTTCAAGTTGCCTTCATTTTGTTGAGGAAGACAATTTAATTTTTTTACCACTGTGTGGTATTTCATGGTGTACATACACAACACAGTAATTTCTTCATGCAGTTTTCAGTTGACAGACATCTGGATTGATTCCATATCTTAGCTATTGTGAATTCAGCTGCAATAAACATGGAGGTACAGACAATGCTTTCATATGCTGATTTCATTTCCCTTGGGTAAATTCCCAGTAGTAGGATGGCTGGGCTATATGGTAGGTCTATATTCAGATTCTGAGGTATCTCCAGACTGTCTTCCACAATGGCTGTACCAGTTTACTGTCCCACAAACAGTGGATTAGGTTACGCCCAACCCCCATACTCGGCAGCATTTGTTGTTTGTTGATTTCTGTATGAAAGCCATTCTAGCTAGGGTGATGTGAAACCTCCTTGTGGTTTTGATTTGCGTTTCCCTGATGGCTAGGGATCCTGAACATTTTTTCATTGTCTATTGGCCATTCGAATTTCTTCTTTTGAAAAATGCTTTTACAAGTCCTTTGCTTATTTCTTAACTGGATTGTTTTTGTTGTTGTTGAGTTTTTTTTTTTTAAGACTTATTTTATTTATTTGAAAGACAGAGTTACAGGGAGAGGTAGAGACAGAGAGAGGTCTTCCATCCACTGGTTCATTCTCCAGGTGGCCGCAATGGCCAGAGCTGCACCGATCTGAAGCCAGGAGCCAAGAGCTTCCTCTGGGTCTCCCATGAGGGTGCAGGGGCCCAAGGACTTAGGCCATCTTCTACTGCTTTCCCAGGCCATAGCAGAGAGCTGATCAGAAGAAGAGCAGCTGAGACTAGAACCAGTGCCCAGATGGGATGCTGGCACTTCAGGCCAGGGTGTTAATCCGCTGTGCCACAGCACTGGCCCTGTTGAGTTTCTTGAGCTCTTTATAGAAACTGGATGTTAGTCCTTTATCAGTTTCATAGTTTGCAAATATTTTCTCCCATTCTGTCAGTTGCATCTTCACTTTCCTGAGTATTTCTTTTGCAGTGCAGAAACTTCTCAATTGTCAATTTTGGCTTTGATTTCCTATGCCTCTGGGGTCTTTTTCCAAGACATCTTTGCCTATGTCAATGTCTTGCAGGATTTCTCCAATGTTCCCTAATAATTTCATAGTATCTGGTCATAGATTTAGGTCTTTGATCCATTTTGAGTGGATTTTTGTGTAAGGTGTAAGGTAGGGGTCTTGCTTCATAAAACTACATGCAGAGATCCATTTTTCCCAGCCCAATTTTTTGAAGAGACTGTCCTTGTTCCAGGGTTGATTTCAGCTCCTTTATCAAAAATAAGTTGGTTTTTGATGCATGGATTGATTTCTGGAGTTTCTATTCTGTTACATTCATCTACCTATATATATATATGTGTGTGTGTGTGTGTGTGTGTGTGTGTATATATATATATATATATATATATTGCCAATACCAGGCTGTTTTGATTATAACTGCCCTGTAGTATGTCTTTAAATCTGGTATTGTGATGCCTCCAGCTTTGTTTTTGTAAATCTTGTAAAACAAGATTGTTTTAGCTATTTGAGGTCTCCTGTTCCTCCTTATGAATTTCAGCATCATTTTTTCCAGATCTGAGAAGAATATCTATGGTATTTTGATTGGTATCATATGGAATCTATAAATTGCTTTCGATAGTATGGACATTTTGATGACATTGATTCTTCCAATCTATGAACATGGAAGATTTCCCAATTTTTGTCTTCTGTTTTTTTAAATCTTTAATGTTTTGTAATTTTATTATAGATATCTTTGACCTCCTTAGTTAAATTTATTTCATTATATTTAACTTCTTTGTAGCTATTGTGAGTGGGATTGATTTTTTTTAACTTTTATTTAATGAATATAAATTTCCAAAGTACGACTTATGGATTACAATGGCTTCCCCCCCATACCGTCCCTCCCACCCGCAACCCTCCCCTTTCCCACTCCCTCTCCCCTTCCATTCACATCAAGATTCATTTTCGATTATCTTAATATACAGAAGATCAGCTTAGTATACATTAAGTAAGGATTTCAACAGTTTGCTCCCACACAGAAACATAAAGTGAAAAATAATAGATGATTTTCTTAAATGATGATGAAATCAGATCAGACCTATTGTCATGTTTAATCCCAGCGAGAGTCAAGTTGGGAGTTGATAATTTCTTTTTTTTTCTTTTTTACAGAAGATCAGTTTAGTATGCATTAAGTAAAGATTTCAACAGTTTGCACCCCCATAGAAACACAAAGTGAAATATACTGTTTGAGTACTCGTTATAGCATTAAATCTCAATACACAGCACATTAAGGACAGAGATCCTACATGAGGAGTAAGTGCACAGTGACTCCTGTTGTTGACTTTACCAATTGACACTCCTGTCTATGGCATCAGTAATCTCCCTATGCTCCAGTCATGAGTTTCCAAGGCTATGGAAGCCCCTTGAGTTCTCCGACTCTTATCTTGTTTAGACAAGGTCATAGTCAAAGTGGAGGTTCTCTCCTCCCTTCAGAGAAAGATCCCTCCTTCTTTGAAGACCTGTTCTTTCCACTGGGATCTCACTCACAGAGATCTTTTTGCCAGAGTGTCTTGGCTTTCCATGCCTGAAATACTCTCATGGGCTTTTCAGCCAGATCCGAATGCCTTTAGGGCTGATTCTGAGGCCAGAGTGCTATTTAGGACATCTGCCATTCTATGAGTCTGCTGAGTATCTCGCTTCCCATGTTGGATCACTCTCCCCTTTATTTATTCTATCGGTTAGTGTTAGCAGGTACTAGACTTGTTTATGTGCTCCCTTTGACTCTTAGTCCTTTCATATGATCAATTGTGAACTGAAATTGATCACATGGAATAGTGAGATGGCATTGGTACATGCCACCTTGATGGGATTGAATTGGAATCCCCTGGTATGTTTCTGTGGGATTGATTTTGACAGTTCTTCTCAACCATAGCATTGTCTGTGTAAGCAAAGGCAATTGATTTTTGTGTGTTGATTTTATATCCTGCCACTTTACCAAACTCTTTAATGAGTTCCAGTAGTCTCTTAGTGGAGTCTTTTGGATCCCCTATATATAGAATTATGTCATCTGCAAATAGGGATGGTTCGACTTCCTCCTTCCCAATTTGTATCCCTTTGCTTTCTTTTTCTTGCATAATGGCTCTGGCTAAAACTTCCAGAACTATACTGAAGAGCAGTGGTGAGAGTGGGCATCTTTGGTTCTGGATCTCAGTGGGAATGCTTCCAACTTTTTC